ATGGCCCCGAATAACTTTCTTGGGTAGGCTCTCGGGCCCCAAGGTATTCCCTTAGGGTGGCTCCCTTTGCTGTGTGCTTAGGGTAAGCCCTTATGGATGCAGTTCTGGGGAACTGCATAACGGTGTTCGGTTGAAGGGTTCCACTATGGTTTTGAAAATATGTTTTAAACAATTACTATTTTAAAATATTTATATCTTTTCCCTGGTTTTGGTTGGAACACACTAGACACACTATTCTGATTTCCTGAACCTGGATCTCTAAATGCTTCCTATGAATTGTAATCTTCATGTCTTTTACTCGAAGAAATATCAGTGGAACCGCAGTTCATTCTGAAAACATGTATAAGTCTGAGTCAATAAGGAAATTTTATAGCTTTCCATTTATCTGCATGTACTGTAGCATCAATTGGTAATATTGTATTACTGAGCTTGCCAAAGTTCACTCTTTGATTCACTGTTTCAGGTTGAAAGAATCAAACCAGTGTAGCTTTCGACATCAGTAAAGTAGTTCCACCAACGTTGCTTGCGGAGTACGGTGCATGTGATTAGGAGGCATGTAGGTTGTAATTTGTTTTACACATGATTCTGAAATTTGTTTTATTTCTGAATATTAAGAAATTTTACTTTTGTATTTATAAATTATTTTATGATTTTATATGTTTTAACTAAAATTTTAATTTTTCATGGATTTTTATGGTGGGTCGCTCTGATGGTCCCCGGATCGGATCGGGTCACTCGCATTGTAACATCCGCAATAACGGGTTAGTGACTAAATTGAAATGTTTCAGAATTTGATGACTAAAGTAGAAGAATGAAATAATTCAATGATTATTAGAATATATATAATGAAGGTTATTTAGTAATTATTAAAGGAAATTAAGGGTATTATGGTCTTTTCCTTTAAAAGATATTTCCCCCCTTTTATAAGAGTGAAAAACGTGGGAAGAGAGCTATCTGGAAGCTTTCTTCTTCTTGCTTTCTCTTCTTCACGTGGGGCTTAGCTACAATAGGTAAGTTTAATTTCAGTTGGTTAATTCTTGAGTTTTAAGCTTAGTTTTGATTCTTTGGGTATTAAATAAGCTTAAGGAAAGCTTATATGGGATTTAAACAATAAGATAAAGGAATTATGAAGGAATTTGCAATATGAGTTTTAAGATGAAATTTTGATATGGTATGGTTGTTGAAGTTTTATGAATGAATTCGACTTGTCATCAATCTAATTAAGAAGTATGAAGTGTTAGAATTGGAATTAGAACACATTGAAAATTTGGTATGATTCTTGAATCTCATATGGAAGATAGGATTTTGAGGTTTAAGATGAAATAAATGAATATAGATTGGTTTAAGTATGTGTACTAGAGTTAAGAATGAAAAGGGGATGATATATGAAGTGTTTGAGAGGAAATGAAGTAATTTTCGAGTTAAAAATATGATTTATGGGCAAGGGGAACCGATACCCCTTCAAACGAACAAAAATTTCCAGAATGTCATGAGGGAATCGATACCCCCTTAGTAGGGAACCGATTCCCCCTAAAGGAAAATTGTAAATATTGGTTTAATAAGTTCGTTTAAGTTGCTAGTATCCAACTACAAGGTGTAGGTATCTAATGATTGCCTCAAAATATACATTTATGTAGATTCTGCGCATAAAGCAATTCCGGAACATTTGGCAAGTAAGATCGATCAAGGGAAAGATAAGAGATTGGAATTTACTAGTGAGGCCAAGGTGAGTGCATACTAGTGACATGTAGTGTTTAATGGAAATAAGACTTGCGATGAGTCTATTTCCTAGAGTAATATGCATGAAGTCATGGACATGATTATGTGTGGTTATAATTATATGTGATTATCTGTATTACATTGATTGTATGTATGCATGACTAAAGATAATGATATGCTTTGTATATGCTATATGATTTATGTAAGACTTTATTATGTAATAATGGAAGAACATGGAATAAGTTATATGATATGGTATAAGTGATTATACGAGAAATGTTAGGAGACTCTAAGAGAATAGTATGAATTCGATGGCATAAATAAGGATACATAAGTTATATAGGGAAGATTGATAAATTAAAGGAAACTATGGTTCATGTATTATAGTGAAGAGCTACAAAGTTTTATTAAAGAGTATTGTAGAAGTCATGAGAAATTGAACTAAATAAATAGATGGTTTATGTGAGTGGAAAAGAAAAATGATATAAAAAATGGAAATTATTTATAAGATAGCATGAGACTAATTGAACATGTAATAAACTTTATAAAGGAGTACTTGGGTAAAATCATTATATGATACAATTATAGAGTATTACTATACAAATTATATTAAAATATGATATATGAGAATATGAGTAAGTTTATAGGATATTGATAGGACATATAAGAATATTTAAATGTATGATGATATGAAAAAGGGAATACAAAGAAATGGAGCATCAGGTAGATAATATGATATCAGTTATTATATATCTATATGATATATGCCATCAGGTAATATGAAAGGACTCTGAAAATTGATATAAGCTATGAGAAAGTGTTATAGGTGTTTCTATGTGTTATATGAAGCATATATGATCATATGTGAACAAGATATGATATGTATGTTTATATGAATATCTGAGAAATGATCTAAGCTATATGATATGTTATGTGACATGTAAATGTGACTCATATGAAAATGTTCTATGAGTAATTGAACTATGTGTTATGTGAAATGATAAGTATAAAAGAAAATGCCCATGTTATATGTCTTGAGAGCTAGGGGTATAGTTGGCATGCCAAGAGTCGAGGGTTTACCTATGTTCTACAGAACATATGGACAGTTTTACCTATGTCTTTCGAGACATATGGACAGTATATCTATGTTCTAAGGAACATATGGACAGTTTACCTAGGTTCTTCGGGACCTATGGACAGTTACCGAGGATCTTTATGACCTCTGGATAGTTACCGAGGATCTTTATAACCTCTGGATAGGTCCTTCGGGACATTTATATGAGCTATGATGACAGCATAGTGGTGCACAACCTCAATAGACTCACATATCTACACTTCTCACAGGTGTACATGGGCTAATCAAGAGATATAAACAAATATATGTTAGTGATATGATAAATGTATTACAAATGATATGATGTTGTGTGTGTATAGTGTTTGATTGAAAAGGTTAAGCATAAAAGTATGTGATTACATGATAAACTGCTAATGATGATTTATGTGTATGTATGTATTTATTGTTAATTAATCTGATATAATTTTACATGATATGAGGAAATCATGTAATTTGGTATAGCATGATAGAACAGAACATGCATATATTGATATATGTTATAAAGTGCATTATAAGTTTTTATGCCTCATTAAGTCTTCGACTTAGCGTTTGATTATTTCACACGTAGGTTTCGAGAAGAGTAAAGAGTAATACGGAGCAAGACAGGTCAGTTCTCCTTACCAAATGTCAGATCAGAAAATATATGTACTGTATATAGAGTGTAGTTGGCATGTACTCTAAAGATATAAATTGTATGAACTCTGATATATTTTGTAAACGTTTTGAATAAGTTAAGTGTTATCAAAGTTTTTAAATTACTCACTATTTTATACGAATAAATGTTTGAAAAGTCAATGTGACACTTCGGACTCGTATCCGGGTTGGATATGGGTTGGGGGTGTTACACGCATCGGTATGAGGGGTTACATTATTAGTGCCCCATTTAAATTCAAACTGATCATTTATCCTTCTCTTGAGAAAATAATAATAATTTTGGTATTATTTTTCTAACTTGCAAATTACAATAAATAGCAACTAAATAAGACATTGTTAATTGAATGGTCAAACTGTTTTCCAATGAAAACATTTTATGGTGTTGAATGGGGACAAAAATGGAGGAATTTTCATAGGACCGATTAATGGATAAGATTGAAGAAATTGATAAGCATGTGACTAACCCCTTCCTTACATTATGTGATTTGGACAATTGGCATGAATGGATTAAAGGAGAAAAAGTAGGGTATTCGTCCATCTAAAAATTTATTGTATATCTTAATTTTTTATATATTTTTAACTAAAAACTATCATTTTTAAAATTTATAAAATACGTTATTTTTTTTAAATTTAAAAATCCATCATTTTAGTATAAAATCTGACGTCTATTCCTAATTATAATTGTTGGGGGTGTCCGAATGTCGACATCCCAAACCTCAACCATCATTCCACGTCCTATCTCTCTATGTCATTGCCACCATGAATAAAATCCCATCAATATCATTTGTCCGAAATGGCCAACAATGGGAGGATATTTAGGGAGAAATTAATGATCATAACGCACCAATAATATTAATACGCGTCGACATATACCACAGAAAAAATTAAACAAATATTCGAATAAATAAATAAAAGTATCGTAGAATAAATAAATATAAATAACAACCGGCCGATAAATATTGATACATTGATGGAATATATTACATTTTTAATAAAAATTAAAATATTAAAAATATATTATTAAAAACCCTAAATATTATCTTACACAAAAGTTCGCTCGAATCGAGTTAAAATATTTTGAGTTGTTGAGTCATATTTTATAACTTAAGTTATATTTAATTTTTTTCGAGTTGTTAAAATTTCTATTTCTATTTATTTATGAATATATTATAACGTTATTATGTTAATTGATTTAAATTTAAATAATTTTCTATAATCATATATGATATAAACATATATTCATATGTCATACAGAGTTGAATGATTTAACTCGAACTTAAAAAAATTTATAACTCAAACTTCGTTTAAGAAAATTTTAAATTGAATATATAAATTACTAAATAAAAGTAACAGATAGGCCCCACAATCCAAGTGGGAGAATGGAAGCATGTGCGCTCATATGGTGGTTGGCTATTTCAGCCCCACCACAACCCTGATCTCTTTTCCCTAAACCCCCCAAACTGAGAACGAAAGCCAAAACGTGTAATCCAATTCTATATAATAACAAATACAGGAGTGAAATTGGGTTAAAAAAAACCCCATGTTATTGGAATAATACTAATAACCAAAGGGGTTGATTCCCCCTCCCTCTCCTCCTTTGAAAATTTTCCAATTTCCCATTCCCCAAACAGACAGCTCTGTCTTCCTTCTTGTCTGGTTGGTCTTTATAGATACTGTGTCAGAGAAAAGTTTGAGATTTTATCATTTGGGAGATCATTTCTGAGCACTGGCCCCCTTGTGTCAGAATATCAAAATCTCTCCTCAATTCTTTCCCCATCCCTTCCGAAAAGGGGAAAGCCCCCCGTACGTTTGTTAGTTAATATCCATCTACTCATATCAAAGGAAACCCTAGTTATTTTTATAGTAGTAACATGGATTTGCACAACTTGAACCCTAGCTCTCTTAAATCCAGGTTCACCACAAGGTTCCTTCGTGCTCTTACTGAAATCAATGCCCGAAAACCCATCGCATCGTCTTCTTCTCCCAGGGAGATCTTCCAACGTTACCGAAGAATCAAGGATGCAGCCGACACGTCCATGGCTTACTCTGTTAGGTCCAGGAGAACTTGGAGTAAGGCAACCCTTTGGAGGCTCCGAACCCCCTCACACCGTCGACGATTAGCCTCTTTCGGCCGAAGATCGTCGCTCAATAAGACCCGTACCACTACCACGGCATCTCATCGGGGGGCCGTCGTCGTCCAAATAACGAGCCGTGGTGGTGGGCTGGGTGTTCAATTGGAAGAGCTAAGAGAGCTTGTTCCAGGTGGTGAAGCCATGGATTTATGCAACTTGTTGGATGAAACTGCGCATTACATAAAGTGTCTTACCACCCAGGTACAGGTGATGAGAACAATCGCCAATCTCTACTCTCTTGAGTAATATATATATATATTCTTATTACATCAGTGTTATATATAGAATAAATATACATAAATCAAGAGGAACAGATCGTTGAAATGGGAAACTATTCATATGCAGAGATGAATTGTCTAAGATGGTAAGTATTTGTATTTTCTGTAGAGATGAATCAGAGAGGAACTTGCATAATCTGTGTGGGATACTACGATTTTCTTTTACAATATAGAGGTTTAATCCCACTATTTGATTTCCTTCTGTATCTTTTTCTTGTTTATGGGTTTCTGATAAATTATAATTTTCTAACATTTTCCTTTCTGTTCTGGAAATATTGTTAAAGAGAAAACGAAGTTTTAGATCTTAGATTGGCTGGCAGGAGTAGTGTACACCAAGATTTAAGGTGAGACAATGTAATTTAATTAATCGTACCATATATGAATTAATTTATGTCCCACATAACGATTTTAAAACATGAAAACAAAATTAAATTAAACTCAAGAGAATCTTCTTTCATTGTTTTATTTATTTCTTCCATATTATTATTGGTTTCATGATAACCAATGTTCCTTTTTTTCCCCCAACTTTTCTTAGGGTGCTGTGTTCCAATTTGCTTCGAGAGTGTTTATATGGAATCATTCCATTATCCTCTCACATGCTCCTTCCCATTCTTAGATTTGCGTCCCTTTGTCAATTCTTTTAATGTCAACTAAAAAAGAGAAAATCTTCTACACAAAAGCTGAAAGATTTACCCTTTGATAGTGTATATATCAAACCATGCTATGCGATTATACTTTTTAAAATATTATTTAAAGTTATTCAAGAATTACTGAAAATTATTAATAATTTATTTATTAAATGTAATAAATAATATTTCTTTCAAAATCTTGAATGGAAATACTATGTACTCACATAATCTAACCGTTCTATGACATCTTTTCCTATGGAAATAAAAATGTAAATGAGAGCTTATGAGTATTTTTCAAACACAAGCTCTACAATCTTTACTTTATACTGTAATATTATCTTTGTTTTTAATAATATTATGTTTTTTTAAATCAACCAAACAGTAATAAATAATAATAAAAAATTAATGTCTAAATATATATCCCAAAAGTCACAGCCTATCGAAGGGTAATAATTAATTCTATAAAAATACATTTTCCCCTCCCTTATCCCCTGGTTGATATATATAAATATAATAATATTTGCAATAAATGATCATAGTAAAAGTGCATTTTCTTTTCTTTCCATCCAAACAAGGAAAAAGTGAGAGCTGTTATTGCAAATCTTTTCATATTTGCTTTGCAATTGCCTGAAAAACGTATATATGCACGTGGTTTTTTTTTTCATTGAATTTAAGTATTAAATATTTTAAGGAATGATAGAGTTCAAATTTTGACGTTGTGAATAGACTAGTTGAGTTAGGATGATTGTCCTATAATGATTTTTTATTATATTTGATCCAGAGTAATTGATCAATAAATCAAATATCGACAGTTAATAAAAATGTCTTCAAGATGAAAAATAATATTTTTCAAAATCTAACATGAGACTTAATTTGTCTTACTATATTAAAAAATTATTTCTTGAATCATTCACATAAAAAATTATTATATGAAATTTCCTGTCACGTCATCTATAGTCTCAACTACTAAAAATCACTCACTTAACTTTTTTTCTTCTTCTATATCCTTTTTTTTCTAAGGATGAATCTTCACTTTTTTATGTATGTACATGTGAAAGTGGGTTACTTCTTGAAAGTTATTACCTTCACAATTTTGAATTAAACTAATGGAAAAAGAAAGTTATCACCTTTGATGGCTCTATCAAAACTTAAGAGAAAAGTGAGAGATGGGCAAATGTAGAAGACAAGAGATGAACAAAGTTTAGCCTTCTCTTTGTTTTTCTACGGGATGAAATAAGTCAAATTAACAATTTTCAGCTTTATTTTCAATCGATAGCCTTATTACTCATTTAATCATTTCTCATTTGTTTTTAATTTAAAAATTCATTTTTTTTATAGTTATTCGATCTTAATTCAAAATTGGTTAGACTCAAATTTGGCACAACGATTTCAATTACATAATCACATCGGTCTATAGATCTTTCGGGTTAACTCACATACATTGGCTCAAAAATTTGAGACATTACAAAATTAAATCTTTATTTTAGATCCAGACAAAATTTGATGTCTACAAGTCTTCCAACACAAGTTGAGGATGTGCTTTCTAATTGGATCAACAGACTTCCATCTTCACTTGTTCATATTCTTGACAAGGATGACTTCTCAGTCCATCCTTTACAAGGTTGAGTTATACACCTAAACAGACTGAGTGCTCGATTTATTTGATTATATTTCAATGTAGTATTGATTTACTCTTATTTGAGATAATATGAAGTTGTTATGTTGGTAAAAAAATTTGTGTCAATAACTACTGGTTACTAATTTAAATAAAATATATATGTTTTTAATATTTTTAAAATATTTCTATAATTTTAAAGCAAGATAGTGTCGAGTATGTAACAACATGATAAAATAAGGTGCTATATCATATTAACGAATTGTTGATAATAGTTTATCGTCAAAATAAAAATTTATTTGTGAAAAATTAAAATGATAAGAATGACTTCGTAAAAACCTAGAAAAAAGAGAGGTAAAAGCTAGGGTTAACATTCCATACCCATATTCAAAAATATTTCATTATACCTAAATATTATTAATTTAATTTAAATAAAAACAATTATTTAACGAAATTAAATATCATCTAAAATATTAGTTTAAATTCTTATATTTTTAAAATTTTCATATTCTTGATCTGGACTTTCCACACGGTTCGGTTTAATCATTTATTTTATCATTAGTTCTTCTACTATGTCTACGTTATTGATGTAGTCTCTATATTTTAATTTGGTCAATTTTAGCCCCTTGTACTTTTCGAATTTTGAAATTCTAGTTGTAATTCAAACAATACATAAATAATATGAATAAATTACGTGGACTTGGAATGATCAAATCAAAGAATATAAACTAAATGAATAATATGGGGGATAAATAGTAGGGTTTGACTTAAGAAATTTAACGATTATTATTCAGGTTAGTATCGAAATTTCAGAACTTGAAAGTATAGGGACCGACAAGCCAAATTAGAATTCAAGGACTAGATCAATAAGTTATGCATAGTACATAAACTAATATAAGAATTTGACAGATTAAAAATGATCAAATTAAAGAATATGAATTAAATTTACAAATTATATGGAAACACAGGTACTAATACTATATTTTTAACTTAACAAATTTATCGGTTATTGATTAGTTCATGGTTAAATTTTTTTCAAATTTTAAAAAACTGCAGAAATTAAAAATGATCAAATTAAAATATTAAAACCAAATTTATAACTTATACATAATATAGGGACTAATGAATGGTGGAGCCTATTATCCTGTCGCAACCGTCTTTCGGATGGGCCCGGAATTGGGCTTCGACTAGAATTGATTGGGTTAGAGTCGCCACCGACCACTTTAAAACGAATTTAGGTGGGTCGGACACCATCTTACCTAATCTGCGTTGTACCAGAAACATGTCAAGTTCGGGAGTCGGTTACGATCAAGGAAGGATTAGCACCCTTGAACCGCCCTTAATTGGGCTTCGACTAGAATTGATTGGGTTAGAGTCGCCACCGACCACTTTAAAACGAATTTAGGTGGGTCGGACACCATCTTACCTAATCTGCGTTGTACCAGAAACATGTCAAGTTCGGGAGTCGGTTACGATCAAGGAAGGATTAGCACCCTTGAACCGCCCTTTCGGTACCAATTAATTTGTCGGTTGTCTTAGTTGCGAGAATTTGAAATTTAAATTAAAATTTAAACTATCCGATTCGAAAATTAAAATTTAAACTATCCGATTCGAATTGTTTACCTTTGATCGATTGAAGTTACCACTGAAAAGGTCAAAAAATGTTAGATGATAAAATAATAATTAAACATTAAATAAATAAATAACAAAACAATAGAATAATAAAATAAAAAAAAAGACGAAATTGAATAAATAAAAAGGGTCAAAAATAATAATAAAAAAATGATGTTAATTAGTAACCAAAATAAAATCTGCATAAAACCTTGGGCCAAATTCGGAAATATATAACTTGGGGACTAAAATATAAGCATAACAAATTAAAATTCCAAATTAAATACTGAAAATAAAATTAGTGACCAAATTACAAATATGACAAAACCTGATGGCCGAGGACCGAGTTTACCCGTGAGAAAAATACACAAATGCCCCCAACTGAAACTACGTCATTTCATCAGCAGTATAAAAGGCCCATATGAGAGTAAATAACGCCAACCCTCTCATTTTCCTGGCTCCTCTCTCTTCAAATGAGAGAACAAAGATTCTCTCTGCGTTCTCTCTACCCTACCCCACCGGTGTAGCTCCGGCTGCCGCTCTCAGTCGCTCTGGCCGCCGCTCTCAGTCGCTCCGGCCTTTTTACCTTTTCGTAAAAAAACCTTTCGTTTTTCCGATGCTTCGATGATCTGGGTCTTTTGGCCTTGGTCGTTGCTTTGATGCTTGTGTTGTCTGATGATTTACTATTAGTTTTTTGGTTCTGTTCGGTATTTGCGATTTGATGGTTTCGTTTGTGTGATGGTTGTTGTGTGTATGACTTGGGTTTGGTTGGTTTTGTGTTTGGTTATTTTGGGTTGTTTTTGGGTTTTTGATGTGCTGTTGACTCGATGGAGTCTTGTTTGGTTACTGTGCTTGTTGGTTCTCTCGTGAGTTCAGTGATGGTTGATGTTTTTGACTGTGTTGGTCATGTGGTTTGATGATTCTGGTTTTCTGTGGATGATCTGTTGTGGTACCGATGATGGTCCCCCACTGTTAGCCTCCTCTGTACTGTGTTGGTCGTAGGTTTTTATAACCCCCACCGGTCGTTGGGAGTCCCGACGATCTCGGGATCGTGGTTGGTTGGCCGAGGATTTCGGGATGGATCAGTCCCGATCCTCTCGGCCGGAAATCTCGGTGACCGGCGTTCAGGCTTCTGGTAACCTTGATTTGATCTTGACCGTTGGATTGGGTCAGATCCAACGGTCCAAGATCGACCGCGGCTGATAGCTCTTTGTGGGTTAAACAAACCCTAATTCCCTCGCTATATTGGCCGTTGATCTCTTTGTTGATCCAACGGTCCCCTGTTGTGTGGCACTGTGACATATGCTAGAACCCTAATTTAACCTCTGGGCTGGATCAGGCCTGTCTGACT